GGGGCCCGCGCCCTGCCCCGGGGTCCCCGCCGCCGCGCTCCGCCCAGATCGGGAGGAGACGCCGAGCTCCCGCCGGGACGGCCGGGAGGAACTCGTGGTGCGCCGGGCGGCCCGCCAGGCTCTTCAGGGAGAAAGGAGGGGGAGAGAGACTTGACCCGGACTCGCAGAGGCAGAACCCGCGGCGCGCTCCGGGCACCTACGGCCCCGAGGAGCTGGAGGGAGAGGGGGCAGCGACGGACCAGGGGCCAGACTCCAGCCCAGGAGAAATGGAAGCAGAACGGAGGGTGGAGCGTCCTAGAGGCAGACAGACCGGCAGCCGGATCCCCAGGACTTAGCGCAGGGCCTGCCACACTACTGGGCACTCATTGAATAAGTGAAGAGGCCAAAGGCAGGGCACAGAGAAACCTGGAAAGCAGATGGAGGGCGAGGCAGAAGGTGGGAAACAGGCCAAAGGCTCTGGTGGGGAGCAGTCTAGATTGTCAGTGGCCTGGAGGCAGGCCGCTGCTGTGTGTGGCAGCTGGGCCAGTCCCGGGACAGGGAAGGAGCTGCGAGAGTGGGAGGGCCTCACTGGCCTGGTTGAGGACTTCTGTCCTTCCTGGAGGTCCAGAGGATGAGCAGAGCCCCAGGCTGGTCCCCCTTCTTTTGCCCTCCTGCCTGCCCACCCTGGTAGGCAGAGGAGATGGGCAGGCAGAGGGCGGGTCTATCTCAGTGTCAGGGTTGGGCACAAGCCTGCAGGCCAGCTGCCTCAGGCAGCCTGTTGCAGTTGAAGGGCCAGGGGGTGCCCAGTAGTGCCAGGCCAGACTGGCACTGGTGCTCTGCCTCCTGGCAGACAGAGCGGCAAGGGGGAAGGACACTGCCCAGTGGGCTGCAGTGGGGCACCAGCAGCCCACAGAGGAGCCTCCGGAAACTCGGGTAGCAGGGCAGACTTGTCAGGCTCTGTAGAAGGAAACCAGCCCTCAGGAACCCGTACCCCACGTTCCCTCCCTTTCCCACCTTTTCCCTCCCTCTCCTTATCTCTTCCCAGAGCACCTTGTAGCCTCTGAGGACCTCCATCACTTCCTCCTGGGTGGCCATGCCAACCCAGATGTTAGGGAAGGCCGTGGCGTTGTAGCTCAGCCCGATGCACATCTGCACTTGGACAGGCTCACAGGCCATCTCTGCAGGGGTAGGAGGGGAGGGTCACTGTGGGGTCTGCTCGCTGCCTCTGTGACCAGGGGCAAGCCACCCAATCACTCTATATGGGTCAGAAGGAGATACAATGGAGAGATGCTTTACACACGCTGAGGATTCTGCTACCCGCCAGCCCCTGCTCCAAGCATCACTGGCCAGCCCGGCGCACTGTGCCGGCGCCCCTTTGACCTCAGGGGCGGGGGCACCAGCATGAGCAGAGACCACGCGGNGGCAGAGGGCGGGTCTATCTCAGTGTCAGGGTTGGGCACAAGCCTGCAGGCCAGCTGCCTCAGGCAGCCTGTTGCAGTTGAAGGGCCAGGGGGTGCCCAGTAGTGCCAGGCCAGACTGGCACTGGTGCTCTGCCTCCTGGCAGACAGAGCGGCAAGGGGGAAGGACACTGCCCAGTGGGCTGCAGTGGGGCACCAGCAGCCCACAGAGGAGCCTCCGGAAACTCGGGTAGCAGGGCAGACTTGTCAGGCTCTGTAGAAGGAAACCAGCCCTCAGGAACCCGTACCCCACGTTCCCTCCCTTTCCCACCTTTTCCCTCCCTCTCCTTATCTCTTCCCAGAGCACCTTGTAGCCTCTGAGGACCTCCATCACTTCCTCCTGGGTGGCCATGCCAACCCAGATGTTAGGGAAGGCCGTGGCGTTGTAGCTCAGCCCGATGCACATCTGCACTTGGACAGGCTCACAGGCCATCTCTGCAGGGGTAGGAGGGGAGGGTCACTGTGGGGTCTGCTCGCTGCCTCTGTGACCAGGGGCAAGCCACCCAATCACTCTATATGGGTCAGAAGGAGATACAATGGAGAGATGCTTTACACACGCTGAGGATTCTGCTACCCGCCAGCCCCTGCTCCAAGCATCACTGGCCAGCCCGGCGCACTGTGCCGGCGCCCCTTTGACCTCAGGGGCGGGGGCACCAGCATGAGCAGAGACCATCTGGAAGAATGTCCCGCTTTCACTTTCCTCTGGAGGTGAGCTGTGGAGGGGGCTCTTTCTCTCTGTGACAAGGCTAGACTGGCTCGTGAAGCCTCAACCATTGATTCCCATTGAACTTGGGGGAGACACAGGACTCTGCGGAGAGTCAGGATAATGACCCCTCATCAGGGAGGACGGGCTGGCCTTTCGAAGTGTGTGACGGATGCAGCCAGCTGCTCAGGCTGCTGGCCGGGTCCATGGGCCCTGGGGCAGGCTTCTTACCTGGGGGTGGGAGCAAGGGGCTGCTGCACTTGCCATCGCTGCCCTCCATGCAGCCTCTCCATGTGTCGCACATCCACCGCAAACTTCTGCACACTCCATCCTGGCAGGAGGCCTCTCTGGGCCCACAGGGCTCTGTTGGCACAGGAGGAATGGCACTGGGACATGTCTGTCCTCCACTGCCCTCACAGTGCCCTGACCAGGATCCAGAGCCCTTCCCTCTTCTCCTGGAGGCACCTCAACTGCCCACAACCACTTGCTCAAGGGCACCTACTCTCTGAGGCATCGAGGGCCCGGTAGGTGGCTGAGAAGCCCACGCTGCTGATGCTGTGATCTGTCCTGAAGAGTACAGCCAGCTGGTGGTGCGAGGAGAGGAGGCGAGGGGGTGGCTCTGCTCCACAGAACCTGCCCAGAGCCAAGAGCAGCCCTGGGCACGGGGCCTTGGTGGCGAGCTGCGCTGAGGCTGCTCACAGGCCTCAGGGAGTCGGCTACTCTGGGTGATGCCAGAGGGGTTGGGAGGCATATCTGAGTCATGGAACTTAGGGTCTGGTGAGGAAGACACGTATGCAGTAGACAAAGTGTTAAAGAAACTGCTTGAACTTGAGCCACTCTGAGATGGAAAAAAATCAGTACGTGTTCCTGAGGGCAGTGGGCCTGCAGGTGGGAAAGTGGGAGAGGGAAAGGTCTAGGGAACGGCCTCCTGGAGGAGGGCAATGCAAGGAACAGAGTCTTCCGGGTGAGAAAGGACAAGCCGCTCTTAGGGTGACAGGAAAGAGACCTCTGGCTTGTAGTAGCCAAACAAAATGAAGCGAGGGAATAAGTTGGGCTAGTTTGTAGGCAGCCGTGGCTGTGATTCTGTGGACAGAGGTGGTCCTGGGCTCCTTCCCTAACCCTGCTGATACCTGCCCAGGAGGCTGAGGGCCCCTGAGTTGCTGGTCTCATACACCTCCACGTAGTTAAACTTGCACTCTTCCTGAGCTTCCAGGCTGAAGTTGTGGAACCATAGTTCTATGCCATGTCCAGCAGGAACCGAGATATGCCAGGTGCAAAGCTAGGGAAGGGCCCAGATGGCATAAGTCACAGGTTCCTTCTGTCCAATCTGGGCATCCAGGCTGAGTGTCGGAAGGCTGGTCTCTGTTGCAGTCTAGGCAGGGAGTGGGTGGGCACTGCCCACCTAGCTCTCATCATAGGTGCTCCTTCACATAGGAAAGTCCCTTTAACTTGTCTCAGAGATCAATCTACTGAGTGTGGGAACATCTGGGTATGTACTAGGCATTTAATAATGTTTCCTTCCTGCTTGCTTGATCTCTGACCTTCCCAAGTACAAGGCAGTGCCTACCATGCTGTTCCCAGTCACACTAACCAGGTGCTCAGGTGCCCACGGTGACACACCACCCTCTCCATGGAGTTTTGGCTTACCTGTTGGTGGGGGTACTCCTGCAGGGAACTGGGAGCAGAGAAATTGCCCTGGAGCCCAGTCAGGTTTCCCCCACATCCTGTAGAGAGGAGGAGGGGTCAAGCGTTGGCCAGCACTCGTGCCTTGCCTGGCAGGGCTGGCTGTAACTGCAGAGGTGAGTTTTGGCCATGCCTGTGGGGAAACCAGTTTTAGGCCAGGACAGTGACCAGGCAGGTTTGGGACTAGGCCAGAACTGGGGAGCCCAGCCTGAACCTGGATCAGATGCCCGAGGCTGGTGGGGCTCTTACCTGAGGACTGGGCACTGCAGTTGTTCTCGTCGCTGCCATCAGCGCAGTTGGCAAAACCATCACACACGGAGTCAGGTAGCAGGCAGATGAGCTGGTCACAGGGGAACTCATCATGGGCACAGCTCCCTAGGGGGAGTGCAGAGGGCATCTGGATTTAGAAACACCGGTCTCCACCTACTTTGCCAGTTCTGTGAGTGGCTGGAGGGGAGGGAAGTGGACCCTTGACAGGTAGCTGGGGACACAGTGGGGAAACACTCACCGTGCCCAGGAGCCACAGCCTGGTACCAGGCGTGGAAACCCAATCCTTCCACACTGCTGTCGGAGACGAAGGCCACCCGGAGGTGGCTGGCATTGGTGTTGAGTGTGGGGGGAGGCACCCTCCCACACACTCTGCAAGAAGCCAGGTTAGAGGTGATAGAGGGTCAGAGCACAGGGCCAGCCAGAATGGAGCCTGCCTAGGCCCCAAACTTGTGACAATGTGGTCAAATGGCTCCTTTCGTTTCCCAGGGGGCTCTGAACTTCTGAGCACATGTATATCCATCCTTGCAGCATTTATTTATGGGAAAGGAGGTAGGGGCTCCATTTTACAGATTTGGAAACTATGGTTAGAGAGGGAAAGTGACCCTCCCAAGATCACATAGCAAGGTGGTAGCAGAGCTGGGCCCAGAGGTGGAGACTCTCAATTTCCTCCCAGGCAAGCCTTTTCCATTGCAGCTCCCTGGCTCTGACCTCCAGACAGTGATTCAGGGTAGAAATGGGACCTCCTGGGGGCAGAGTGACCCACCTGAGGAGGGGGCCTTCAGGCTTGGGGGAGATTTCTAAGCGATCAAAGAGACAGGAGGCCACACTCTCCATGCTGAGAGTTTCAATCTTGAGCTGTATGGCATAGTTTGTGGACACCTGGATGTGCCACACGCAGTGGGCATTGGGTGGATAAGGGTCTGGGTAGTTGGGGCTGCTGAAAAAGCCCCTTGGTCCAAGAAGGAGGCCCCCACAGGCTGCAGAGATAGAGATTAGAGTTCAGAGGTCAAAAGGAGAGAGACCCTTATTTTTCAAGGTGCCTTTTCCTGGCCCCCCTCCCTCCAGCCATCTTGGGTCCTTTAGGAAGGTCTGCCCTTGGTACTCACTGGACTGGGGTGTGGGGCTCATGTCTGCCTCCTGCTGCCCCTTAGGGGTCCCAGTTGCCTGAGAGGTGGTGGTGGTTGTGGTAGGGGGGGTACCAGTGGTGGTGAGGCCTCTGGCAGGCAGTGGATGATAGGAGGCACCAAATGGTAGTGCACCCTGCAACTCTGGAGGCAGGAAAATGGGGAAGTAGGGTTCAGAGGAGCTGGATCCCTGGGGAGATGGGTAGCACCGTTCATGGAGCCTCCCAAGCAGGACCTGGGCACTTACGGGTCAGGAGAATGGCCAGCAGCCCCAGCAGCAGGAGCAGCAGGCTGGCTAGCAGCACAACACACAGCCAGGAGCAGGGGCAGTCTGGCTGCAGCCCTCGGGGACGCCAACCTGAGGGCAGGTGGGGTGGGATTTTGAGAGCTCCTTCCCTTGGGCATCCCTCACAGTGCCCTCAGCTCCTGGGCCTCTCAGTCCTACCCCTAGGTCACCCCGGAGATGGTTACCATGCCAGGGAGCTTGGGTGCTACTGTGGGCATCCTCCCGGAAGGCCAGTGGAGGGCAAGGTGGCCCTGCTTCAGGCTTAAAAGCAGGATTGCAGAACTCAGTCTGAAAGGGAGAGACTTGAAGGCTGAGGGCAGCCCTGCCTGGCAGGTGTGTCCACTGGCAGCCCTGGGCAGGCAGCTGGGCTTGGGAAGAGCCATTCTTTGTGGTCCTTACCTTGCTCAGCTCTGTGGACTCCACACCCAGGATGACATCTGAGCAGTCCTTCATGGCTCAAGGCTCTGCACAGCTTTCTGAAGGCCTCGTAAAAGCCCGAGACCCCGAGGGCCCACTCCCTCCCCAAAGCCCCTATCACAGGGGTAGCCTGTGCTTCCTGCGGGAATGGGCTGCCAGGCTAGACCAGCTCTCAGGCCACAAGCGCCCACTGGCTGGGGCTCCGGGCTCCGTGGGCTCCGTGTGGGGGAAGGGGCAGCAGCCAGAGGAATTTGCAAAGGCCTGAAATGGTCCCTTAATCCCGCTCAGCTGAGGACGCTGAGGTCGGTGCCCTCGCCCAGGGCAGCAGCCCTTAAAGGCACAGACGGCGGCTGAGAACATCCCACAAAAGCAGCTAGGTGCCGCGTGTGTGCGTCATGTGCACGCGTGCGTGTGTGTGCTTGTGTGTGCGCGCGTGTGTGTATGCGCGCGTGTGCGTGTGTGTGTGTGCTTGTGTATGCGCGCGTGTGTGTATGCGCGCGTGTGTATGCGCGCGTGTGCGTGTGTGTGCTTGTGTATGCGCGCGTGTGTGTATGCGCGCGTGTGCGTGTGTGTGCTTGTGTATGCGCGCGTGTGCGTGTGTGTGCATGCGTGCGTGTGTGTGCGTGTGTGTGCTTGTGTATGCGCGCGTGTGCGTGTGTGCATGTGTGTGCACGCGTGCGTGTGTTGCGTGCATGTGCGCGCGTGTGTGTGCGTGTGCGCGCGCGTGCCCGGGGCAGTGAGCACTGAGGGGCGCTAGGAGGGAGGGACAGCGGGGCTGCAGCGGGCCCGCGGGGTAAGGGGTGGGCAGCCTCGAGGTCTATGGCCTCAAGGGCCCCGGGGAAAACCAGGTGGGCGCCTCCTCCCGGGGCGGCGGGGGCATTAGCGAGCCTGGGCCTGCGGAAGGCCCCGCGCGGGCCCGTGGGGCCGGGACAAGGAGACGAGCCCTTACAGGAAGGACACGGCCCGCGCGGCCCGTGAGTGGGGGCGCTGGAGGCTCTGCCTCTTCCTGGACCCCTCAGCCCGCAGGGAAGGGACAGGCGAGGGGCAGGTGCCCGAGGCCTTGGGCAGGGGCC